CGCTTGCTGGAGGAGAACATTGCAGGGAGCTCTGGTTTGGGCCCATTTCCCTCAGCTGCATGACATGAGAAATTTCTTTGGTTTGGAGAGGAACACTGTGGACTGTCAGCAGATTCACTGTCTCCAGCTGCCCAGGGCATGTCTGACATCTGATTCTGTGGAAATCCAGAAAGCATCTGTATCCTTCTGTAGTGCTTTGTACTCACTTGAGTCCTGTGACATGCTGGCAGTGGTGGAGCTGCACCATGGGTTGCCCTGTCTCGCTAGTGAGGAACAACAATGTCTGGAGCCCTTCTGTCCTTGCAGGAGCTCTATTGTGGTCCAGCAGCTCTCTACAGGCAAAGCCTCAGGAATAGATGGGCTGTTGTCTACATTTTAGGATCTTATTGGTCCTGATATTTTTCTGAGTGGTTTCTGGAGTGCTTCCAGAGGAAGGAGCTGTCCCTCAGTTGTCACGGGGCAGTGATTACCCTGCTGCCCAAGAAATGGGACCTCTATGATGTGCGGAACTGGAGACCTATTTCCCTTCTCTGTCCCAATTACAAGATCCTATTCTATCCTATTTGGATGCAGTGTTTCATTTTTTTCCTCAATTGTTCCCATTTGATTAATCTCTTTGGGTTTTTGCGGTAGCTTTTCAGTTGCTGGGAACTGTTTTCCTCCAAACTTGAGTTTATTCTGGGAGTGCAATACACAGCCTGTTTGTGTGTGTGTGTGTGTGTGCTGGTGTTACTGTATCAGGCCAAACTGGTCATTCTGAACTTTCCCAAGGATAAAGTGACAAGGGTAAAGGGGTGTGATGTGCTGGAGTTGTTCTGCATGCTGATCGTTGCCTGGCTGTGGGTTTGCTACCTTTTATAAGCTCACTTTGAAGTCTGGATATGTTTTGATTCACCTGATGTATTAATAATGTCTTGAGCAAACTTGATTCTGGTGACGCCATAGTGATCCATCTGTAATGTTTGTTCGGGGTGGGTTTATTGCTATTTATTCCTTTCTTTATGTATATTTAACGTATTTAATGACATTTTGAATATATTTAAATGTAATTTTTTTTTACAGTGAATAAAGGTGTTATTCACATCTCTCCTCCCCCTCTCCCCTACCCTTCCCGTGCCCCAGACCTAAAGACCTTCCTGAATCCTGACAAACATTTCTTGGAAACTGATTTATGGAGATTAAACTGATACATCTGCACAAAACATTCTGGTTTCAACGAAAACCTATTTTGCTGAAATGACAGTTCTGACTGGCTCTAAGTTCTGAATAGGCACAGAACCTGCCCAGAGGTCTTTCTCACTGGTGCAGTTTATGTGCAGATTTGGCAAAAAAAGCACTGCATTGGTTCACACTCACTTCACATTTGGAAGGTTTTGTTCTTTGCCATAAGTGCTAGAAACTTAATTAAAAAACAATATAAGCTTTCATTTTTTATGAATTGACACTAGCAGTTCATGGGAGAGGTCCTAAACAAGCCATTGTTTCTCTTGGAAGTACAGCAAGACTTCTTGGCAGAGCGAAAAGCACCAGTCGTCAACTACATAACTGAGTGGCACAGGGCACATTTTCTTCCTTTTCTTTTAACCATTTCTGAAAACATATTAAAGACGACGGGGGGAAAACCTCTAACCAATCAAAAGGACATAAATGTAGTGGTTGGAATGTGTCCTTCAACCCATGTAAATTTGTTGTATCAACTATCTGATGCCACATCACAGTGAGAACTAGGGTGGCTGCATGAGCTAGAAACGCAGAGCATCGCTTAACATCGTTTCGCTTAAAGTCGCATTTTTCAGGAGCATCACTACAATGTTAAGCGAGGAGTTACTGTATAGATGTCTGGACTTGGGCTGGAGCTTGAGCTCTGGGACCCTCCCCCCCTCACAGGGTCCCACTACCCAGGCTTGGCTGGAGCCCAGACATCTACACTGCAGTTCTATAGCCCCTCAGCCCCCTGAGCTTGCTGATAAGGGCCAGCTGCAGGTGTTTTA